AAAATAAATAAATAAATAAATAAACCACTATTATCGTTGCTATAAGAGCATCATTATAGTGGTTATTTTGGAGTTATTGTCAGATGAATTCTCTCAAACAAAATTAATACTTGATGTGGAGAAAAATTATTGAAAAAATAATTGGCCTGCAAGTGTTTGAAATAATGTCAGAAAAAAAAAAACAACAATAAAAGTTGTGCGCATTTGCGCACAACCAAGTGCCACACGGGCGCGTGCTCTGCACGCCCCCTGATAGCGCGCCTTACACATTATTTATTTATTATTTAAAAAAAAAAATCAGTTTTCTCTTCTTTTTTTTTCTCTCCCCTCCCACATTCTCTTTCCTAATCACTCTTACATTTTTTCCAAATTCTTTCAGCTGATAATGTCGTTAATATAATATAAGAAATGAATATAATGAAACGACAAGAAGGCAGTCGTGCAGGAATGTAGTAGGTCTAGGACATACATGATGGTGTTGGCACTTGGCACGTACCTCAACTTGGCCTAGAAATGTACTTTCGCATGGGATACCTTTTTCGTTGTCCGAATGCATAAAATTCAATAACATACAACGTCGTCGTATAATAAACTATTCCCGCAGCCTACACTGTACTACTTCAAAAAGTAGATTCCAGAATTGGATGGTAAAGTTTTTTACCTAATGATAAGAGAGAGGTTCCTTTATACTTCAACAATACTATAACTCTTTTTAAGTATATACAATACATAAACGAGTCAGTGAATGTGTACGTAAGACTTAAACTAATCTAGTGAACTAGAGCGTTGTTTTCATTTTTTTTATTGTCTTTTAATGCTTTTAACACACACACACATATATATATATATATAGTGATCTAATGGACCATTTCTCTTGTGAGACCGTGAGACCTGTACATGAATGTACACAATATATATATATATATATATATATATATATATATATATATATATATGCGAAGGATCCTGTGAGAATAATATAATAGAAATAAAATAAAAATCAATCTCAGTTTTATATCTGTCAAAAATTAATAGATATGATCAGATATAAAAATATCTTGTGTCATTTTCGCATTTTTGCAAGTGTTATCTTTTATTATTAACGCTTTGCACATTTAGCATTAACATTTTTTTTTTGGAAAGAAAGATGTTAATACTAAATGTGCAAAACGTTAATACTAAATCTGCAAATCTGAAAAAGTATGAAGATTACATATTTTAGTGTTTAAATTTGCATAATAAAGTTGGTGATAATTACAAAAATGCTACTGTATTTTTTATTTAAATAATCTAATTCGTCTTATTTTTTCAGATGTAAGACTGAGATTGGTTCTTTATATATATATATATATATATATATATATATATATATATATATATATATATATATATATAATCGCACTCAGGTGCGAATGCTTCGCTCAGGCGCTAAATAGGAATGGATTTTGTCCATCCATGTCTAGATCTAATGGATGAGAAACATTGATTTTTTAAAAAAAATGCGGTGATATTTTCGTAAATAATTGAACATCGAAGTGCAAGTAAAATGTATTACAAGTGCATGTAAAATGTATTATAGGTGCAAGTAAAAATTTACACTGAGCATCAATACTTAGTTGCACCTATAGTTCTAAGTAGTTGCACCTATAGTTCTAAGTAGTTGCACACATAGTTATAAGTAGTTGCACCTAGGTGTATGAATGTTAGCGAGTGGTTTTTAGGGGTATTACTACCCGCTGAACTCAGATCAATGAATGTTAACAAGGAAAAATTACATGCACTTATAGATGAAAGTAGGTGTACCTATAGTTATAAGTAGTTGCACCTATAGTTATAAATAGTTGCACATATAGTTATAAGCACACCCAGGTGCATGAATGTTTGCGGAAAGTGAATGCTAACAAGGCAAAATTACATGCACTTATAGGTGAAAGTAGGTGCACTTGTAAGTGATTTTACTTGCACTTCGATGTTCAATTATTTACGAAAATGCCACCACGTTTTTTTTAAGTTATTAGATCTGAACACATGTCGCGCGCTGATTCGTTCACATATTCTTTCCTGGACATTCATTTGCACCTGACTGCATCCCCCTCTCTCTCTCTCTCTCTCTCTCTATATATATATATATATATATATATATAGGCAGGTTCAGGTGCGGCAGTGTCTTACGGTGCGGCGATTTCTTACGGTGCGGCAACACCAATAGTTCAACAAATATGCACCATCAACGTTAGGAAAATACACCACACAAAACAGAGTAATAGAGCCCTGCATCACCAAACACACACCATTAGGTGTGAGTAAAAACACCATACACTGTTCGGAAATACACCATTGGGGGTGGTGAGTTATATGGTGTATTTTTTTTGAGTCTGTTGTGTATTTTGTGATGTTTTATTACATTTCATTGTGGTGTGCTTTTATTACACTGTTGGTGCATATTGTTAACACTGTTGGTGTATTCTGGAATTCCGCCGCACCGCCACACGGGAAGACCCCGCCGCATTTGAACTTTATTCTATATATATATATATATATATATATATATATATATATATATATATATATATATATATATATATATATATAATTTTGACTAACGCCCGTCACTGTTTTGTAACCTTCTATTTTAATATTTTTGAAAGTCTGCTACATATTCTTTCAAGTCACGGTAAATGTTTATTCCATTGTACCTTCATTATATTTTTTGACGGGACAAGACAAATGAGCAACATTTGTATAGCATCTTCTCAATTGTACTCACTACTAACTTCTAAGTCCTTTCTCTAAGAGATGAAATTCGCCAAAATACTCATCCGTTTAACTATTTTCAAACTCTAAATACATTTAAAACAAAGTAAAAAAATTTGTTTGAGACTCGTGGATCATTATTTGTGAAATGGGTCAATTCTAGACAATGAGGTGTGATGCTCAATGAGGGTATATTTTGTAAGTATCACAACTGCAATTATAATAATTATAATATTTATCATTAGTAACAATCAATTTTGTTCTTAATAGTATCACAATTTCATATATAAGTATTATAATATTTATCATAAGTAACGATTTATTTTAATTCAAATTGATACATGCAATTTCTTTCATAAATAACATTTCAAATAGAAGTATTATAATATTTACATTAGAATTACATGTTGTAAATATCACAATTTTTTTGAAAGCAAGTCAATATCACAGTACAATTTAAGTTATAAGTATTACAATATTTATCATTAGTAACAATCGTTTACCATAAATAATACTCCGTATTACAATTTCACATATAAATCTTACACTAACTATTATAAGTAATGGTTTATTTATTTCAAATTTGCATTAAATTTTCTGTAACAAATATGTATTATTGATTTCTATCATAAACAAGTAACAAACAATTATCTTAGATTCGATCGGTTTCACGAATTAAGATCTGTGCGGAGATCTCAACAAGTATGATTCTTAAAACAATTTAAATTTGTCATAACTAAGGGTGTGTTCGATTCATGGGGTTACACACTAGGAATGAGAATCAAAATCATAGTTAGTGTTTGGTTGACAACTTTTTAAAACACAACTATGAGATTTGATTACACCTTCAATTAAAAATCACATTCCCTAATTAAAAATATATATATATATATATATATATATCATTCCATCTTATTGGTAATATGACTTTTAAGTTTGAATTAGTGATTTTAGATTTTTTGTTTTGATTTTTTTTTTCGTTTATATTGGTGCTTTGGATGTCATTAATTATATTAGGATCAATTGCTTTGATTTTTTGTTTTGGTAATCATTTTCAGTCCACCCTACTACCAAACAGACAAAATACTTTCACAAAAACAGATACAATTACCAAGTATTTGATTCTTATTTCGATTATGATTTTCATGTGCGAACCAAACACACGCTAAATGATTTCACATGAGACCTACTCTACTAACCGATATGGTTATGAATTTTCAGACAAATTATACTATGGACCGCGGTCACAATGCATTGTGGTCCAGTCATCAAAACGGTGTCGTTTCTCTTATTAAAAAGAAACGACACCTGTTCCGCACCGTTTTGAGCCGTCTGTAAAAAAACAACTTTGATTGTATAATATATTCAATTTCATTTTGTATACATTGCAGTTTCATTTCAACACAACTACAGTTTCATTCGATATTATACGCTCAAATATGTGAAAAAAGTTATTCAGTTTCATTTTATATATACACTATAGTTTCATTACAACACAATGAACTACATTATAATTTTAATATAACTACAGTTTCATTGTATAGTATATACTCAAATATGTGAAATGTTATTCAATTCCATTTTTATATACACTGCAATTTTATTTCAACACAAATATAGTATCATTTTGATATAATTACACTTTCGCTGGACAATATACACTCAAAGATGTGAAATTGTTTTTCAATTTCATTTTGTATAGACTGCGGTTTCATTTCAACACAACTACAGTTTCAATTCAATTCAATGCAATTTCATTTGATAATTAAAAATAATACGTGAGACAGTGTCAATTTATATACACTGTAGTTTCATTTGGTAATTAATACACAAAAAATATACACTCCGTTAAGTTGTAACAACGGTTGTTTCTTTACTTTAAAGAAACAACGTTATTTTTAGATCATGATTTACAAAGATTTGTGGACTGCGTTCCACAATATAATTGCTGGAATTTTCACTCTACCCAAACCTGCCTTAATTGGGAAGAGTAATACTTAGAATCTTAGATATTATTCGATTGTTTGTCAAATCACTAAATATGATGGAGGATTGCAACTATTTTCGTATTTGTTTGTCATTAAAAAAAAAAAAAAAAGATAGTAATTTTAGAAAGATGAGAAGGGCAAAAATGGAATAATAGCATTAGAAACTGACATATATTCTCCATAGGTATTTAAATGCTAGGTAGGTGCGGTGTGGGAAGGCAGGCAAGACATTGAGGTGAAGTACGTAGTAGTGTTTGTTTAGTATTGGTTTGTCTCAGATAGATTGTCCCAAATTAAAGTGAAACAAAAAACAAAAAGAAAAAGTTGATGGAAGATTATCAAGATTCATCATCTTCTACTTCTTCACCTAATACCACCAACACTGTTACTCCGGAGAGAAACGAATCCGTAAGATCAAGATGGAACCCTAAACCGGAACAAATCCTTATCCTCGAATCCATCTTCAACAGCGGCATGGTCAATCCTCCCAAGGAAGAAACCGTCAGGATTCGGAAACTTCTAGAGAAATTCGGCTCCGTCGGCGACGCCAACGTCTTCTACTGGTTCCAGAACCGCCGATCCCGGTCCAGGCGCCGCCAGCGCCAGCTCCAGCTCCAGGCCTCCCTCGGACCACCGCCCGCCGCCGCCCACCACCCTCAGCAAGCCGCCGCCGGTGCTGCAATTAGTAGCTGTGTTTTTCCGCCTTCTTCGGCTAGTTATAATTCCGCTGTTTCTAGTTACTTCCCGAATCTTCTCGGCTCATCATCTTCCTCTTCTTCTTCTCCTCCTTGCTGCGGCGGCGTCGATGACGAGATGTTGTGTTTGTCCGGCGGCGAAACGATGATGAGTATGAACAGTGCCGGACTTGAGCCGGCCAGTTCTTCCATCACCCCATCGTCACTCATGTCGTCACACGATGCTTCTCATCTGTCATACCAACCTGGTACGTCGTCCTACGTTGTACTTCCAAACAACTTTTTTTTTTTTTTTTTTTTTTTTTACTACACTCTAAGATACTTATAATATCTACTCAACAACAAATTACCAAACTACTATTTTTTTATTTTCTTTTACTACACTCTAACATATTTATAATATCTGCTCAACAACAAATTATCGGAAAAAGGTTAGTTTTCTCTCATCTATTCTATCCGATAATTTAAGTGTCTTAATTAGTAACTGCTTGTTGCACTCATGCATGATCACCTCAGTCAAAACCCTTCTTCCCGATATCAATACAAATCCCTAATCTCATCTTATTATCAATTGCTTTGATTTTTCCCTTCACAAATATTTTCGAAGACAAAATTGCAATTTTTGTCATTGAATTGGGCATTATTTGGTCCATCTCTAGTTTTTTTTTTTTTTCTTTTAATTTAGTTTAGCTCTCAATTGTATATATACAATTTTATTTCTAATTAAATATTAGATTTTTAATTATTTGTCATGGTGCGTTTGGTTCAAACATTAGAATTGAAATTATGATGTGAATCAAATAGTTAGTAATGACATCGGTTTTGTTAAAAGGAGTCTCTTAAATTAGAATCTAAATAAATAATCAATTAATTAAAATAAAAATAAATAAATAAATATATATATATATATATATATATATATATATGTGTTCCATATTTAATGTATGGATAATGACTTTTTCTTTTCTTCCTCATTTTTACATAAGTATGCTAGGAAGGAAAATATAATGAGTTTAAATTTTTTTAAAGATTTAAATTCAATAGTAGGATAGTAAAAATAGACTAACAAACACGATAATATGTAACATATCTCATAGTAAAGTATAAAAGTTTCCAACTAAACAAAACCTTATTGTCTGTCCCGGTGAATCATCCTTTAAATTGGTAATTTGGGTTTAGAAGGATTATGCAAATGTTAATATCATTAGGATATATGTTAAAACAATGATTGAAGAACCATTATTTTTTTAAAAAGAGGGTAAATTTTCAAAAATTACAATAATTAATTGTGTCACTAGACATATATAATTGACCAAATGAAAAATGACAATATAAATTTATTGTACAGACTAGATCGACTTTCCATCTAACATTTGAGTAAAAAAAAAAGTAGTACAGTTTATTCTCACTTTTCGTAGCATATATGATTAATTAATAATTTTTTTTTACTAGGCTAGTAATAGTGTATATGTATAGTGTTCTTGAATGGATTGTATCAAATACTAATAATATTTTTGTCAATATTATTCAATATATAGGATTATATTCAGTATTATAAACATCGAATAAAATGGTAGGAGTGAGGGCAAAGGCTGGGGCGGTGGGATGGCAGGTGTGAACGGTAGAGTTGCAGCAGTATTGTCCCCAAATTTCTCGATACCCTATGAGTGTAATACAAAATTCAAAATAAAAATAAATTAATTATTTAAAAAGGGGAAATTTTTTAAAGTTTGATTCAATCAATTTATTAATAAATTGATAATATCGACCATATTAGAATGACTAGTCAGTGCAGATCTACACGTGGTCAGTCATCCAATTTCTACCTGAAATTATTACTATATAAACTTATTATTATTTTTGTAATAACAGTAGTTTATAAATTAAATAAAAATATTGTATTCTAAAAGAAAAATGTTGAATTACTTGCACAAATTAAATAATTATAAATATGCTCCCGACATTTCTCATATTCGATATTGAGTAGTATAATTTTTCAAATTTAAATAATTAATAACGATATGATTAAATAATGTTTACTGACAAAGTGAGGAGCAGTTTGGAAGCATATTATAGAGTCGGTGTATTAATTTAATTTATTATTGATGATTTAAAAATGAAATAATTTTGTTTTATATTTTTGAAGGGTTGATAACAGTGTTCATAAACGGAGTCGCAACAGAGGTTCCAAGAGGGCCAATAGACATTAAAGCAATGTTTGGAACAGAAGATGAATTGTTGCTGTATCACTCTTCTGGAATTCCAATACCTATCAACCAATTTGGGATTTTACTTCAGACTTTAAGGCATGGTGAAAGCTATTTCCTGGTAATTTTATTTTATATCCACCCCCAACTATCACCTTTTTTTTTTTTTTTTTTTTTTTTTTTTTTTTTAAACAAGTAATACTCCACATTCTTCATTAAAAAAAAAAAACTTTTGAGTGTTAATATCAATCATTATTGTGTGGACCATGGTCCAGACAGTTATGTAGACCATACTATCAAATAATGTACATTCAATACACAAATAATATATATTTAGTTATTAAAAATGTACTTATTCTCAAAAAATAAAAAGTATACGCTAGCTGTATTTTTGAGAAAGTACATTATTTGAGTACTGAAAGTATATTATTTTGTACAATGTACATTCAATACAACAATGATATACTTTTAGTATATTGAGAATGTACATTTTGTAATGGTCCACACAACATTATGTAGACCATGGGTACACACAATAATTTGTCGTGTTAATATAATTTTATCAACATTCTAGTCAATTTCAGTACACTATAAAATTGATGTAATTTAAACCGACTTATATTAAAATAACATATTTTTATCATATATAGGAAAAGTGGTTAATATTGTCTTTTAGAGTAAAAATAACATTCAAATATTTATTACATACAACTCACGTTAACATTAACAGTAATATATCCTATGTAAGAAACATATATAAGTGATCATTACTCAAGAAACTAATTGAATTTTTAAATGAAAATAATAATATTTCTTTTTATGAATTTGATCGTTTCTTTTATTAAAATGTAAAGGAATAACTGTCAAGTAGGCCATTATATTTCGTATTTTTGTACAATTAAGTCACCCTGAACTTAAAAATTGTGTAATCAATTCATCAAACAAATAAGATATGTGCAATTGGGACATTTTTTCAAAAAAAATTTTCAGTAGAATTCAATCATATTGCTTACATGCATAATATGTACTAAAAGTTGTCTTTTCCTCTACCATACTAGTTGGAAGTCAAGATTGAAATATCTTTAACCCAAATTGAACTAAAAGAAATCAGAAAATAGTTTAATTGCACATATTTTGCTTGTTTTGTGATTCAATTATATATATATATATATATATATATATATATATATATATATATATATATATATATATATATATATATATAGTTCAGTAATCCAATTGCACAAATGTGATAAGTCTATTGGTCTATTTGACACTTTTTTATTTTTCAAATATAAATTAATAATTGAAGTTGAATCAAATTTTATTTAGATTAACTTTAATCTTTGGTTAAAATGACATGAATATTTCAAATATAATTTTGATCTTAAATTGTATCAACTTTTAAAAGTTTGGTCACAACACACAAAGTCCATTTAAATATTTCAGCAGTACGGTGTTTTGAGAAATATAAATATGTGTGTGCATAAATATAAATATATAGTTTCTTAATTCCACTTTAAATTTAAAATATTTAATACTAGTAATTGGCCTGTTTAGAATAATGTTGAGTAATACGTCAAAATAAGGCACAAATTATAGTAAATTATGCACCGACCTGATCACCATACTCCATTTGGAAAAAAATATAAAGGGGGTGTTTGGTAAATAGCTGTTAGCTAATTAGGTTAGTGTATTTGATCAGTTGATAGTATATTAGTTGATCGTAGAAAGATGTTTGGTAAATTAGCGGTTAGTTGATAGCTGATTACATGCAAAATGACTTTCTCAAAATGCTGATTGAAAAAACTGCTTTGAGCAGCTATTTGAATTTTAGTATTTTGAAGCAATAAGCTGTTATAAAAAAATTAATTTTTCAAACACTTATATTAGTGGTTTTACCAAGTCAAACAGTTAATAATGGTTAAATAAATTAAAATTGACTGATAAGTTAACTATGTTATCAAACATGGCCTTAAAGTAAAATTAATTAGTTCCTATTATAAATATTATTAATTTAATTAATTTAATTGGGTTAAGCACTTTGTTCTCAGCTGGTACTTTTGTAACTCCCTTGAGAAAATGTCACAGGATTGATTCCTTGTGGAGGGTCTTGACTCGTTTGGCTCTAAAAGATAGAGAAAGTATAGAACATATACTATCTTGTAATAGAGTTAATAGTATTCAAAAAATTTAATTAGGCTAATAGTAAGTTAATTATTATTATCAAAGCAGAAATTTAGTTATTCTTTTTAATTTGTGTTTGACGAAATGAATTAAAGTAAGTATATTAATTAATTATTCAACGTGACAAATTAATTACTCAAAAATAATATTTTTGAAACAGGTATCGAGAACAGCCTAGTGCGAACTGAAGTGAACCGACCACCTTTCTGAGTTTGCTTTCAAATCTTCAATATTGTTTAGTATTTTGTGTCTTGTAGCGTCGATATTTTATTTTATTTTATTATACTTAGTGCAATAAAACTCTATGGTTTACGTTGGTTTTACACAAGATATTTTTTTCTTGCTTCACTAGACGGACAATAGAGTGTTCATGGCTATATATACAATGTTGCTAAACATATATATATAATTGCGTTTAGTTCAATTTTTTTTTCGCCTTTTTTTTTTTAAAAAAACCAAAATACATTAGTTCATTAGATCATAACTGAGAGTATCTAACAAGAAGGTAGGAGGAATGAAAAGTCATTCCATACGGTCAGACAAAGAACTAGCTAGCTTCCCAAATGACTCTTGATTTGGTTTGTAGATTGTTTAACAGCATGAAAGTTAATGTTATGAAAACTTGTAACTTGTTGTTTAATATCATTGACTAAAATGCCAAAAACATAATTTAAAGAGCATTGTAGACAAGGAGCACATCCATCTCAATCTGCACGTTATCCAAATTCAAAACTTTTAGCATCAACATTCATTTTTAACAAGCTAGCAAGCCCTCAGGGGGTTTCTGCCATCTTGCAACCTCCATGTGACCACCAAGGGTGTAGGAAATTGTCTCTCCGGGTTAGCATTCCTCCAGCTTTGTAGGAAAGAGGACACACTGTTAACAATGTTGGAATGAGAAGCTGAGACATTATCCCATTTCTTTAGTTTTAATTTTTATTTTTCAAATTAAATATACACATAAATATATTCTTAATTTTTCTTTTCTCTAGAATTTAAAAAAAAAAAAATCAATTAGTAAACATGTGAGATTAGTGTTATTGTGTTAAGTAATATTAATTAACTCCTGTATGAAAAATGCACAATCTGGCCGTGAAAATTCTTCCTTGCACCAGCATGCAAGGGCTCATGCACAACTTTGGACCTTTGTACTATAAATTGGGACGTTAAAGGAGAGTTAGGGAAATTTTGCCAGCCACTTTATGTTTGAGAATTCTATACTTCCACTTTTGGGGGAGATATTCTCTCTCTAAGGTTATAGGAGACAAATTGGCAACTTGTTCCAAAGATCTTGTGGGACGATGAGGATCCAACCACCACTTGTTGAAGGCTTTGGATTTGATTGCATTTTCTAATAGAGCTAAACTTTGTGTCCTTAATTTAAATATCAAATCTTCAATTGATTGCTAGCATGTGCTCTTTTACATCTCTTGCTTACATTCCAATTGAGATCATGTGTAGCTAGAATTTTAGGGGAATTGGATTAGGTTTACTTGCAAAGATACTTGAATCATTTGAATTGGAAACAGGGAGTGACTCAATGCATTAACTTCGTCCTTCTTGAGAGTGGAATATGTATTTGTTGGCCCCGATAGGGTGGTAAAAGTCTAGAGGGGCGGGGGGGGGGGGGGGGGGGGGGGGGGAGTGAATAGACTTTTTAAACTTTTTCACAATAAATAACTTTTTGGTAATTTAAACTCTAAGTAACAAGTAAATAGAGAAGTAATTAAATTGAAATGCACAGCGGAATAAATAAGTGTAAAGAGTTATGCCCAATCAATAATTTGAATCACATGCACGTGTAGGATAAGCTCAGATGAGGTGTAAGAATGACATGAATATCTTGAATATTTAAAGGAGATGGTGCACTCAATATTTAATAATAATATTCAAGACTATAAATAAGATTTCGTGTCACGTCAATCGTATGATAAAAGTTACATGCAACACGTCAAACTTGCTTAGAATAATTCAAGAGTTAAGCTTGGAAAGTTTGAGTTATATGCATACGTGAAAACACGCTAAACCTGAAAGATTAAGATTAACAGTAAATAGTAAACGGGTTAGTCGGATAAGATAGATAGATAGAGCGAATTATGTAAGTGCGGTATGTAAATGAGAGAGGCAATTTATAGTGGTTCGGAAGTGGCGTAATCTTCCTAGTCCACTTTACTCCATTCACTTCTAGGAGTAATTCACTATTTTCCACACACAGTTACAATAGTGAATAAGTGCTACACAAGCACTTCTTCCGGATGTCTTGCACACAGCTACACCCAACTCTGAGTGTCTCGCACACAGCTACACTCAACTCCGTGTATTTCGCACACAGCTATACTCAATGCCAACTAAGTGTTTTGCACACAGCTACACTTAGCAACTACAAGTGTTTTGCACATAGCTACACTCACTAGAGTATTTTGGACACAGCTATACTCTTCTAACAATTACAAATACAAAGGTAATTGTATCTCTCTCCAACTATTTTTGAGACTATTCAGACTAAGTCTCTAAGAAATATTTGGGCACTTGCACTTGTTCACTTCTTATCTCGTGTGTATTCACCTCTCTTTTCTTCCTTTTCTTCAAGTCTTCATGGCCTTTTTATAGATAACCAAATATATCCGTTGGAGTGGGATAATTTGATATTTGAAATTTGAATCTTCATAGCCTGATATTGTTGACAATCAATATGATTTGATTGTCAACTTGCCTGACAAGGTAATATTTTATCTCAACTTGATTTTCAAGTTGTTTCTTTAAAATATTATTATTTCTTGTCAATTTTGAATTTCCAACGTATCTTTGAAATAAATCCTTCTGATAGAATTTATTTCTAGGATAAGTTTTTATATTTATGTCTTCATAAATATTTCTCCCGTTATGATAATATCTTTAGGCAATTTTGGATTCTTGTGGCATGTGGGTTGATTCAAAATAAATTCATTCGAATTTATCCATTTTCTGATCTTCTTGCTTCTTTGCCACATTTTGCGTTTCAGAAGACACATTGTGCTCCTTTGGAACATTGTGCGTTTGACTTCGGCACTTCTTGCTTGTTTGACTTGAACATTGTGCTTTTCTGATTAGGTCACATTGTGCTCCTTGAGACACATCGTGCTTGTTGACATCGTGCTCCTTTTGAAATAACATTGTGCTCATTTGGAACATTGTGCTCCTTTCAGACATCGTGCTCCTTGGGTGCATCTTGCTTGTACACATCGTGCTCCTTTGACACATCTTGCTTGTTCGAATTCTTGACTTGTAAAAAACAAATGCTTATGGGGGATTGATCTCAGGTATGATCGTTTTATGTAAGGATTTCTACCACTTCACTATTAGGCTCATCCGTTCATTTTTTGCAACGCCATTCCTTTATGCTTCTTCCTCGGATGAATACTTGTAGGACCAAAATTAATTTTCCAAATTAATTTTGTTCTTCATATGGTAGATTTTCCTTTGACTCGATATTCTGGATTATGATGCTTATACTAAAGACCTAAAATCAAAGGGGATCTAAAGTACATTTGGCGCATCAAAACTTTATTACAAAAAAATTCCTATCAATTTTCCCCCATTTTGATGACGCCAAAACCTATACTCAGTTATTTGGCATGTCTTTAAAAAAAAATTATTTTTTAAAAAGATTTTATTATTCCTGACATAGCCATGACGAGTTTAACATTTGATTTTGACTCTAGGAAAGGTATTTTTAGCAACAAAGTTCCTATTTGCATTTTTGGATTTTTTTAGTGTTAATGAATTTTGTAACTTTTCCAATTATGCGATTTTTACAACCTAAGCTAAAAATGTTACCTTTCAAGACAAATAAAATAACAATAGATAGAATACTTAAGAGCATCATAAACAGATAATCGAAAACATCATTGCAAATTGTCTTATGGTCATACTCCAAGTTCGTAGACCATACAAAAATATTGTGACATTAATCATACAAATCACTTGATTATTCTACTTCTCCTTTCTTCTAGCACATGATTTATATGATTCTTAATTTCAACAAAATTGTCACTAATGGCATAATCTTTGCATACCTGCCTAATCACGTAGTAGTTGAATGCTTTGATGATATTGTTTCCGGGCAGTATACCTTCTTCATACCATATGATGCATTCTTCTAGATTTCTGTCTCCTTGAAGCTCGGCATCATTCACTTTGATGTAGTCTCTAAGCACAATTGTAACACCCCGTGTTACAACCCCTAAAATCAATTAAATCATTTAGCCAATTTCCCAAAAGAAAGAATTAAATCACATAATTAATTAGGAAAGACCCACCATAGTCCACGGGCCCTTATCCCTAAACCCAACCCTTAGTCCCAAAAGGAATAGAATTAGCAAGCCTATAATATTAGTTCCTAATTAGGACTCCTAAATATATAAATAGGGGACTTAAGAGGCACCTAGAAACCTCCCACCACAATAACGTTCCACCCTCCCAAAGAGCTCCAAGAATTCCCTTAGAAGAAATCAAGAAAGCAAGAAAGCTTAAAGAAAGACCCTTCATAGCCAAGGAATTAATTAAGGCTAAGAGGTAACCCATGTCTCAACAAAACCTATTTTCATAGCTATGATTCCCCTCTTAGGATTTCCCCATATTATTGTGTATTGATGATCTGTGATATTATTATTGATGATTGGCGGGATGATTCCATGGGTGATCTTGATGATGAAAGGTTCTTGATAATTATGGTGTTCTTGATGATTATATGATGTTCTTGATGATTGTAGAATATTCTTGATGTTTATGTGGCATTCTTACCAAATCTTGATATTAGAAGATGAATTCTGTCCTTCTTGATTTAAAAGTGATTAGAACCCTAGGTTGTATCGTATGGAATTATTCTTGGTATATTGGGTGAGATTTCGCATGATTGGGTGTTTATTATGTCTAAAAAAGCATGATAGGTTATGTACCGTTTGTTTCTTGATTTTGATCCGTTAATTGTCTACGTGTGTTATCAATTGCGTTTGAAAGTGTCTAAGCATGGTTTCGGGTTCCACAAAGGTTCCCGGGGCGTTTTTGATGAAAAAGAGTCAGTGGGGGGTAGGGGACCCGCCACCTACCCGTGGCCAAATCGGGCAACGCCGGCAGCGGGCAGCCGGCGGGCGGACAGCTGCCCGCCGGGCACCCGCTGCCCGGATTTGTAGAACGCCGGCGGGCAGCCGGCGGGTGACCCCCACCCACCGGCTACCCGCTGGAAATTCCCCCACTTCGGGATCCCGGCTTCCCCGTTTGATGTTCCCCCGACCCCCGTGGTGTCCCAACGGACTCCGTCTATCGTGCCTATGTCTAGTTTGAT